ACAGGCAGTATCAAGTGGTTGCCGTAGAAGGGGTGCTAACAACCGAAGAGAAACAGGTAATTTAGACCTACAGCTTTAGAAATTTATTGCTTTAGTTATTTGGGCATTATAACTGCTGAAATTATCTATTATTTTTTTATTTGATTAATTTACTCTTAATTTCAGTAATGTATTTCATCTAGATATTGTTGTATGGGCAGTCTATGTTAAACTGTTCAATTACTGAATGGCGTGTTTGTTTTTCAGATCCGCATTCTCAATTCAAGATCACTATGTGCTGAGAAAATTCCTTAATGCAGTTGTGCACATCTGCTGCAGTTTTATGTATTCCCAGCTACTTTTATCTACTAGTCTATTGAAACAGACTATGAAACACTGTATTTTCTATAAATGTCAAACAATAATAAATTAAGAGTTTTATCTTACTAGCTGCACAATAAGTCAAGTATTATTGTGTCATCATGTGTGTAAATTTTCATTTCTTCATATTTTGATTCATTGAATGACTGGTTCAATTTGTCTTTCAATTACAGTTTTATGCATGTGGTATCACAGACATGTAAAAAAAGGTACATTCTATTATAGAAAGATAATGTAAAAACAGCTGTTTAACCCAAACTCAAAAAAGTGCATTTCAAAACATTGTAATATTGAAAGGTAAAGAACCTCTGAATTAGAGGTATTTCACAAAGATTTAATTTTACTCACTTTTTCCTAAAAGTGGTTTTTAATATTCTTAATAGCCTCTTATGCAGTAGGAAGACAGAAGAAAATGAGGTAAATTATTTTACTGAGAGAATCAGGCCACAATTCTGGGAAGCCTCAACTTAACATAGAACTCTTGTGTAAATGAAGCCAATCATATGAATAAGAGAACAAGTCAAAGGTTTTTAATGGCAATAATTGTACAAATGACAATGTTTGAAAGTTTTCATAAAATATTCTGCACCATAGATGGTAGTAACTGAAAAGTTTGTGTTTAGCGCGAATGAGCTCTGAGTCCTGCTCCACAGGAGGATATTGGCATCTATACTATTCATATCAGGTTGAGAGTTAGTAATTCAGTCTTCATCACTGCCCAAGTCCAGTGGGTTGAAATCAGGGTCGTCCTCATCCAAGTCCAAATCATCCATGTCTTGGAAGAGCGACTCATCCACTTCCACACTGCTCCCAACTACACAGAAAAAGCAGAGAAGAGCCATTTAAACAAAAATTGCAAAAAAAAGCTAATGGGATCCTATAAAACTTGTATTTAGAATAATAACAATTGACATTTCTTACCGTCCTCCAAGAACTGGATATCTGATGTGTCAAGATTATGGTCTCTCTCAAAGAGCTGTTTTCCTTTAATAGAAAAAAGTAAATCAGCAGAACATGACAACGTTAATCAGATATCGTAAATATCAGATTAGTAATTCACCTGTGAGTTTTGCCTTTCCTGCCTGCTCCTCTTCTTTCTGCCTTTTACTCTTTAGTTCCATCATTTCTTGCTCAAATTTTGCTTTCCATGATAAGAAGTTCTCAATTGTGACCACAGTGCCTTGGAATGCAAACTGAAAAACAAAACAGAAACAAAGATCAGTAAAAGAAAGAAAAAAACAACATTTTCCATTAAAAAAAGTGTAGCTATGTACAACGGAGATACATTTTTTTTTTAAGAATTACGATATTTGGCGTTTTTAGAAATTAGTCTCTCACCAAGGCTGCATTTATTTGATCATAAATACAGTAAAAACAGTAATATTGCGAAATAATAGTACATTTTAAAATAACTATTTTAAATATATTTTAAAATGTAATAATTAATGTGATGGCACAGATGAATGTTCAGCAGCTGTTGCTACAGTCTTCAGTGTCACATGATCTTTCAGAAGTCATACTAATATGCTGGTTTAGTGATCAGTTATCATCAATTATTATTGAAGCTCAATGTTATAATGTAATAATGTTAGGTTCTTATTTTTATCAATGTTGAAAACATTTTAGATTCTTAATATTTTTGTTAAACCTAAGATAATTTATTTAGGATAAATAGAGCATTTATTTGAAATAGAAATGATTACTTACCCCAAACTTTTAAATGGTAGTACATCATGGTTACCACAAAAATATTAAGCAGCACAACTGTTTTCAACATTGATAATAGTAATAAATGTTTTTAAGAGCAAATCAGCAAATTAGAATGAAGGATTAGATGATGCTGAAAATTCAGCTCTGTTATTACAGGAATTAATTACCTTTGCAAATATATTAAAATAGAAATATTTTTAAATTGTAATAATAATTCACAATATTACTGTTTTTACTGTAATTATTCCACCTTAAATGTTTAAACTCCAGTGTAACTACGGTATTAACAAATCTACCATTCAAGACAATAACATTCTTTAAATTAAAGCAACATTGCTTCACAGTTGGGATGGACTAGTTCAACCCAACTGGTCGAACTTTTGTTGGTTATTGTGGGGCTCTACTGGCAGATGCTGTAATTACATGTGGCAAAATTTTGCTTCATTGACAGCACAGTGTTTGTGTATTCTGGCTAAACATATGTTATTGAAAGTAATGAATGTATTTCCATGGCCAGTTTTTGAATGACCCTGAAAAAGTATGAAATTGACTTTGTTGAATTTCGAGTAACAGCTCAAAACAGTCAATATTCTGAGGGTAACTATAAAAGATTCTTTTGGATTTCATTTTTAATTTTACACTACACTCAGAAGGTACATGCTCACAACAAACCTTCTCAGCTTCTTCGGCCTCCCTTTCTTTTATTTCTTTTCTTTCTTTCTCCTCTTCTCTTCTGCTCTTAATCTGATCTACTATTTCATTAAGTTTCTCCTGCACAGCTGTAACTAATGTGAATATCATGACCATCCCCAGGTTTTCTTCAGCCTGCAAAAGAAAGAATTTGTTAGAAAGGCCTACAGGACAGCAAAAGAAGCGTAGGCCATCATCAGTAAGTGGGCTTTATCAATTGTTAAATGTGTTTTGCTTGGTATATGATGTCAGGTGTGCAGACCTGTTCTTTCAAAAGCGTTAGAATGCCTTCAGCGTCCGAATCTTCCAGGTTCTCCTGTGAAAAGATTTCCCAGAGAGGGGGTTCGTCTGGATATTTCTCCAAATATGTAAACTTCAGGGTCACCTCCACCGCTGAAATAGACAGAAATCAGTGCTGGTGGTGTTTTGAGTTGAACTAATGGTAAAAAAAAGATACCGTAAAATTACGTGCACTGACATTTTTCTACTTTTGATAAGATAATAAGCAACATGAACTTACTTTCATCATCTTCTCCCGCATCAGAAGTAACTGTGATGGTGAAGCTTGTGGGCTTCTCGGAAAGCACTGTATGAATATGGATATTACAAACAACAATCTAAGAAAACCTTCAGATCACCGCTTCCATGTTCAGCACGTAATCATAAATCTGAATCTGATGTTTAACATAACAGTTAGCCAGTCAACTTCTGCCTGACATATCGCTGGCCATTGATTATCGTTTGCATTGTTTCTTAACCTTTGACAGCTCAATCTGCAGCTATAAAGAAAGATATGAAAGAGATGACTAAGTCGGTCGTATGATTAACTAACTTTGTTTCAGGTGAAGCTAGGCAGCTAATCTGGAAAGCGTTATGGAACGAGTTATGGACATACAAACTATATACTTTGCGTTCTGTCTTACCTGTAAATGAGTCTGGGTAAATGGACTCTATTGCTTCTAGTTCATTCCTCTGCTCCTCGCCGTAGTCTGTCATTTTATGTCACAAATGTTCATAAATTAGAGCTTGCATGGAAGAAACGTGTGCTTAGGCCTGTCCAGCATCGATGTCATCTGGGATCATCAATGATGTCTGAGCTTGAGTCTGGGTGCACACTAACTTTACTCGTTCTGCTAAACATTAGTACACTTGTGGTAATTCGTGCTATCACGCTATTTAATCTATTGCAATAGATTGTATATACAATAAACAATGGATAAAAGGAAAACATATATAATAAGGGTCGAATCTGGCATAGATTATTATAGCCTGACGGTACAGCAGCTTTCCTAAAACTGCCTCTCTACTCCACTATCAAAGCAAGTTTATATTTATATAATAAATGTTAAATCTGTAATTATATTACATTTAAATCATAACATCCAGGGATTCATTTATAATCGTTGTCTTTCATACTAGCCTGCTTCTTTATTTAAAGTTTAATTTTAGCTGAGCATGCAGCCCATTTCACAAACCCTTTTAAAATCCCTTTTACTGGAATTTATGAATTAAACAGACACTGATGGAAGTGTAGGTCAGAGGCAATAAAAAAAAATAAAAAGAAACAGCGTAGACCATTTCAGACCATCTTAAATTCTCAGAGGGACTTAGCTTTTGTAATACTGGCACAGTCCACTTGCAGGTGGCCATCATAGGCATAAAGGCCTACTGTTAACCAGCAATACGTTTTAACAGTCCATATATTTAATAGCTATATATTCCAACACTTCTTAATAAATAATACAATTGGCCATTTAAGTTGTGTCTCATTAGAATGGAATCTAGGAATACAGCACAAAATAGAATTGACTTTTCAGCAGGGAAAATGTACAATTTTTCCATTTTTTTTAATGCAAGAAACAAATACAAAACGTATATGCAATCAGTACAAAATTGCAACAAAAACAATATAAACACAATATAAAAGTTCAACAGTTCATGCATCATTCACTTCTAAACTCAAGAAAAAACGTTTTGTGTAGTAGGCTAAGCTGGATGTCATTTAGTTTGGTTTACTGAATGATTTATTCATTTTTATGTTTTGGACCAAACTCACAACTGTAATTGATCTATATCAGATTTTGTTAGTACGACTTTTTATTGTTAATTTCAAAGTCCTTTTTTGTGCCATATTTGAACATGAAGAGAGACAGGACAATATGTTTTGTCACTTCTAAGCAATGTTCTTTAGTTTTGGCACACTTAAACTTGAATTAAACTGCCTTACAATAAATAACATATATTGTTGTTATCATTATTATTATTATTGTTATGTTTTGACATATTGTTTTTTTTTTTTGCTGTCCACTGTCCAACAACCTGAGTATAATGTGAGTCTCTTTGACAATAGGAAATAAACACCACAAACATGCCGGAAACCAGCATTTTACCACGTGTAATAATTTTGATATCCTATAGTAGCTCGTTCTGTTTATGCTTTTTGAAAAACTATGCTAATAGAAACTTGTTTTGATCAAAGGGTCCCAATTCAGAGCTGATATCTGGGTCAAAATGACTGAAGAGATGTGTGTTGTGGACTATAATGTGGTTTTCCTGTTTGTCAAAACTTAAAACCTGCAGAGGAAATAAGCAGGGTTGTTAACATGTTCAATAGTTTGTTGGATGGCATGAGTACAATGTGATCAGATACATTGTAAACAGTATTGTTAGAATGGATAATTAAAAACCATTACTACATATACAAGAGGTTGTCATGCATTAAAGTGCATTGAACACACTGCATTATAAGAGCATATAAGAGAGATTCATAGAGCCTAAATGACAAATGACCTGAGAATAAGTGTGTTTTTTTCCTTTCCTTGAATTTTTAAAACCTGTAATGCAACATTCAAACAATATACAAATTGGATCTTGTTATTGAAGACACTCAAATCTGTACAAATCTTTAGTGTCTGAGACCTGTGTTTGTTCATTGAATGCTACAACAACATTTGCAGTCTGACTTGCACCAGGACCACCTCCTAAGTGGATAAAACAAAACTTCCAGTTACTTTATTTTCAATACAGGTTGTAGCTACCAAACTAAAATCTAACCCTGCTCAGATTCACAGTGGTTTTTCGTCTTCGAGGTCATATTCTTGGCTATTCAGAAACCATGCAGTCCATGCAGCTTTGTGCTTTTAAGCCATCTCTATGCCATCTTCTCCCTCTAGAACAGGGCGCTTCTCAGGGTTGAAGTCTACATCTCTGCTCTCCACGTATCTCTGCAGTGTGCTGTAGTACTGTTCGCTTTTTTTAAAGGTGTATACAGCAGAGATCTCCTCCCAAGCCTTGTGATTTGGAAAGTTAAATGGTTCAGGGCACTTGTTTTGAAAGAAAGCCTCGAGGTTTCTCTCTGCTAGTTTGGTGGCATAGGCTTCTGCAAAAGTCTCAAACTTTTCCCTTTCCTTCTCCATGTAGATTTTATGGAAAGTTAACTGAATGTAGCTTACTTGAGAGCGACAGTTCTTATAACAAGTCCCGATCAGCGCTACTATTGCTGATATGATAATGATGGACCATCCGAGTATCTGCGAACATAAATCAATCAGTTGAATGTTATAAAAATATACAAGTTATTGGTGTAAATTATTACACAGCTCAGTAAACTTGATATGAAAAATTGTGATAATTCTAAAATGTTAAGGTAATGTCACATTAGGCTAACCAAACTTTTCAGGCAAAAAATGTTGTCAATATTGTAGCAAAGCATAAAGCACAGTGCACACAGAAGTCACTTACAAATCACTTACAAACTGGGGAATCCACATGACCAACTTGAACCTACCTGTTACTAAATCTGCGGAAATCTTTCGCTCCGACCTGAAATTCTCAATTCGTGGCTTAGAAATGACAGCAGTTTGCCAGCGAAAATTTGCCGAACAACAGTAATTGTGTCTCTAAAGCTTCTCTTAAAGCCCTCCTGTGGTGAAAATCAAGCTTTTAATGTTGTCCATTTTCATTTTCATTTTCATTTACATAGAACTGCGTATACTAAATGAGGCAAGGGTATCTCAAGCTGTTTTAAGGCAGGAAGGATAAAAAAGGTTTAAATATGTAATTTTGGTGATCAAAGATGAGTTTTAACCTTTCAGGGATAAAATTATTGGGGGGACTTTAAGAAAAAACAGTCCACAACACTGAACAAAAGTTTGGCCATAAGACGAACACTGCAATATGCAGGCCTTTCGTGGAATGGAAAGGTTCCATGGATGTTAAAGGTTCTTCGTGTAACCATTAATGCTAATAAAGAACCTTTATTTTTAAGAGTAGTCTGTGCTCACCTGTGATTGGGCTCGCAGCATCAACAGCAGCTCCATATTTTCATTTGGAGACAAATGGGACTTGCTGCAGGGCACTCGGGGCAGCTCTTCCCGGCACGTAGGTGTCTTGTTTTGGCAGAAAATATTCACCACCATATTTTCATCCAGACCACTGACAGCACACTCATAAAAAGTTCCATTTAACAGCGCTACAGTAAGCCACATAATAGGGGCAATGCAAGCTCCATGTAGCACTTTCACAAACACTGACAAGCATCCCACAAAGTTCCCCCTGGGGCAAAGCTTGATAGGGTTGAGACAACACCCAGTATATAACCGCCAAAGACGTGTACTAACAAAGAGACCAATTGCCAGCAAGACGACTGCAGGGCCGAGCAGGAAAGTTAATCCATAGGCAAAATTCTGTCCTCGGTTGCACGGACACTGGAAAGACACCATGGAGAAGATTCTTTCACTACCTATTGTCAAAATAGCCATGAAGCTGTAGCCAATAGTGCTCTTCTGATTCGTGAGGAACTTTAGGATGGTCTTAAAAGAATCCATAGCTGGTACAGACATAGCTGGTAACACTCCAAATGAGCTGAGTAAACCGAAAGAGATCGATTCTGCTATATGACACTCCCTTTTCTGGCTCCTCTATCTTCTCTTTTTCTGGCTCTGGCATTGACCACAGCTCATCAAATCCCTCCCCTATCCATGCTCCCCCCTCCTACTTAGTAAAAGACCGTGACGAAACCAGCTCATCAGGTTCTGCTGGAAGTCAAAACCGGCTACAGATGTGTATAGGAATATTTACCCATCATGCAACATCAGTCAAACGAACAAAACCCCAACGCTGCGTTCTGGATAAGAGAGGTATAAAACTGATCTGTGGAACTGACAATGAGCTTATTATTATTGGAATTCTGGAATCTAGAGGATGGAATGTGGAAATCTAGGCTGGAAATCTCTATACCCAACATCTTTAAGACAGCAGATTAGAGCTTGTTAGGTCAACCAAAGAGTTGTATTTCAACCTAATGCTTTTCATTAGTAAAAAAGGGAAGCAATCTGGTTATGTGTGAGGAGACAGTTTCTGTTCTCCTGCCCCACTGTTGTGCACTGCACTTTTCACATGATGTCTCCGCTTTAATGCTAACCACAACAGAGCTTAATAAATATTGATTTTTTTAAAGTGTGCTTTTAGCAGTGTGATTGTCAAATTGTACATTATTACTTCACGAAAAAAGCCTCAAAGTGCTGCCTGTTGAAATATGAGATCACAAAACATCATGTGCATGAAATAAGTTGAAATGACACCAAAAGTCTAACTTAAGTTTTTTTTTGATAGTCCCTTATAAAAAGGTCAGGGCACAACGGTTCAAATAAAAAAGGAATGTTGTTCATTTTCTGTCAAAAACATCTGTATTGAAAAAGATTTGAAAAATCTGAAAACTTTTATTTGAAAAATTATTAAAATATTTTTTATTTGTTTATTACTGTAAAAAAAGTTGCATTAACAATCAACTTGGATGTTTAAGTCACTCTTAAGATTATACAATTTTTTACAGTGTAATAGTTTATTATTCATATGAAAAATTATATCAAAAAAAATAAACAACAACAAAAACAGCAATGTTAAAATCATACAATAGCGGTATTCAAAAGAAACAAATATCTTAAAAGAACAATTAATTGACACCGTAAAAGGCACAGAAAATGAAGCGAGTATCGTTACGGCTGTATTTACCCAAAATAACATGGTAAGGCCTGAACAGCAGTCAAATAGACAGCAAGCACATCTACAGGATCAGTTTGCCCTCATCAACAAATGCAAGTGCTGCTGGGTTTCCAAATTCATTTTCAGACTTCAATGAAGCCCTCACTGCTGGATTCTCAAAGTCCTCACAAGTGCACACATACTTGTGCAGGATGCTGTAGTATTCGTCCATGCTCCGGAACTTGTAGAAGGAGGAGATCTTCTGCCAGGCCTGTCTGGGAGGACTTTTCATAGGAATGGGTTTGGTTAACTCAAAGAAACTTGTTATGTTTCTCCTAGCCAGCTTTTCGGCATGCTGAGTAGTATAGCTGTCCAAAAACTCACTCTCCTTCTGAGTGTAAATCCTCCAAAACCTCAGCTGCATGTAACTGATTGGAGAATTGCATCTGGCCATGCATGTCAGCAGAAAGGTGAACATCATGACAGAAGCTATCAGGATCCATCCAAGAACCTAGAATTCCAGAATAGTACAATTATTATTAGCCCACCGAAAGAGAGGTAACTGACATCAGATGTGCACAGATATAAAAAAAAAATATTTTAAGATTATCGTAGAGCCATGATAATCTAGGACCTTACTGTATACACTGAACTGCTAAAATAACCCTTTAAGCTACCTAGAATTTTTTTTTTAAATTAGACAACATTTAGGCACCACTCAAAAAAATTGCTTTCAAAAGTCAAAACCTCTGAAAGTCAAAATTCGCCTAAATTGTTCTGAGTCTTATTTGAGATCTAGGCTATTTGATGATACCTAATTGAATAAAAAAAAAAACACAAAACGGATTTTGGACTAAAACTTACGGTACCGTCTGCATACCTGTGACTCCGCGCGTATAATGGACAGAACAGCCACTCTCTCACTTTGTGGGATTGGGGTTCCATCACACGGGAACTTCTCCAAGTCTGTCCTACAGTGCGGATACTTCTCGTTGCAAAGGGCCTGTCTAAAGAGTGTGACGTTGGCACCAGTCATTGAACACTCGAAATACACCCCTTTGAGGAGAGCAACTGCGATCCAGCTGAGAGGTGCAACTATTGCGGTCATGGTGATTTGAAGAAAAACACAAAAAAAGCCAAATGCGTAATTAAAACGACATAGTTTCGATTTTCTAAGGCACAGACCTGTGAACAGTTTCCACGTTTTATTGCTCAACATGTAACTTAGGATGAGTAGTGCAAGAGCAGGTACGAGGAGGCAGACGTTTCCATAGATGAAATTCCAATCATTGCAAGGACACCTAAAAGCAAAGACCGAGAAGACGTGCTCGCCACCCGCAGTTATAAGAGCAATTAATCCGAATCCTAAATTGGTCTGCTGTTTCTGAGCGAAGCTAAGCAACGGTTTTAACTTATCCATGTCTGCAGCTGACGGCTGTAAGCTCTCATAAAATGACACGCTCAGTTCCGTTATGAGAGAGTGCTTGTCACGAAACGACACACAGGAAGCATAATATCCAAGGGCAGTACCCGGCAAGGGACAAAGGACTCAAAAGTGGTGTGAAGAATAACAGGACTCCGTAACAACACTAAACAAGCAAGCAGGGTATTTATACACACAGAACATGGCAATTATAATGGGTAAAAGCTGAATGAGTGATGAGCGCAGACAAGGATTGTGGGGAATGTAGTTATGTAGACACCATCTACAAAGAGGACCCCTAGTGGTAGGGAACATAAACAAGACACTGTGACATACTGCGGCTCAGGGGCAGCAGACAACGGCTCCGGTGGCTCAGGAGCAGCAGACACTGGCTCCGGCGGCTCAGGAGCAGCGGACACCAGGAGCAGCAGACACCGGCTCCGGCGGCTCAGGAGCAGCAGACACCAGCTCCGGCAGCTCAGGAGGAGCAGACACCGGCTCCGGCGGCTCAGGAGCAGCAGACACCAGCTCCGGCAGCTCAGGAGCAGCAGACACCGGCTCCGGCGGCTCGGGAGCAGCAGACACCGGCTCCGGCGGCTCGGGAGCAGCAGACACCGGCTCCGGCGGCTCGGGAGCAGCAGACACCGGCTCCGGCGGCTCAGGAGCAGCAGACACCAGCTCCGGCAGCTTAGTAGCAGCAGACACCGGCTCCGGCGGCTCGGGAGCAGCAGACACCGGCTCCGGCGGCTCAGGAGCAGCAGACACCAGCTCCGGCAGCTTAGTAGCAGCAGACACCGGCTCCGGCGGCTCGGGAGCAGCAGACACCGGCTCCGGCGGCTCAGGAGCAGCAGACACCGGCTCCGGAGGCTCGGGAGCAGCAGACACCGGCTCCGGCGGCTCGGGAGCAGCAGACACCGGCTCCGGCGGCTCGGGAGCAGCGGACACCGGCTCCGGCGGCTCGGGAGCAGCAGACACCGGCTCCGGCGGCTCAGAGCAGCAGAGACTGGCTCCGGCTCAGGAACAACAGACAAGGGCATCTCCAGGATCTGAGCTAGATTTTCCAAATTGTCAGTAAGTGCCCTCACGGCCATGAGAATGGGCATCTCCTGATCCATCTCTGACTGGGCAGACATGGCATGAGCGGTCCCTGTCTGGGGAGATGTGATGTGAACTGTCTCTTGGCAGACGTGACATGAACAGTCCCTGGCTGGGCAGACGTGACCCGTCTCTGACTGGGCAGATGTGACTTGAACCATCTCTGGCTGGGCAGACGGGACATGATCAGTCTCTGACTGGGCAGACGGGACGTGAACAGTCTTTGGATCGGCAGATGTGACGTGAACAGTCTCTGGTATGGCCTATGGAAAAACACTGGGCTGCTGGGGCACAGCCTCCGGGCTCTTGGGGGTCTGGAGGAGGTCTTCCTCCTCTTCCGCCGTTACTGATGGCGATGTGCATGCTCTGGACTGGATGGAAAGTTTCCATTGGAAACAGTGGCGGATGGAGCTCCAGCCCAAGGTCGAAGAGGGGCCTGAGTGGAGCAAGGACACAGGACTCAAAAGTGGTGTGACGAATAAGGACTCCGTAACAAACACTAAGGCAGGGTATTTATACACACAGAACATGACAATTGTAATGGGGAACAGCTGAGTGCAGACAAGGATTGTGGGGAATGCAGTTCCAAAACTGAATGACACCGTGGGGAAAGAGGACCTCAATTGGACACAAGGGAACATAAACCAGACATTGTGACAATACAGTTTTTTAATTTTTATGTAATGTCTGCTTTTCAGCTGTAGTGGGAGAATTACTTTATGAGAAATGGGAAATAAAATACTTTTTGATAAAGTAAAAAAACAAATATATAAATAAAACGACAACAACATAATTTAGGCTATGCCATTTACACACCAAAGGCATTGTAAACATAAAAACATGTAATGCCTTGCCCTTTAGTGACGTGCATGTGATTGTGAAGGCCCTAATGTTTATTTTACATGTTCAAAAGAAAGCCATTCATTTTGGTTAAGGTAAACTGTATTCAAGCACAACCAGTGCTAAATGTAAAACAGTGGTTCTCCTCCAGGGAGGTTCAGCAAACTTTCAATGGGGCCTCAACATGAACGTTATTTCACATTGAATTAATTTTAAAAGTGTGGGTTTTCTGGACCTGGAAAAGTCATGTAAATGAATGTAAAGAAAATGACAAATGTTTTTGACTATAGTGCACTTCATATTTGGCGCCTTGTGGACACGCATGATCCCGGGCATGTGACCGCAAGAGGCGGGGGCTGATTAAGACTAGCGGTTACAGTAGCTCAGACGCATCGGGCATAGACATAGCGAGTTACACCCCCAGCCTTTGGACAGTTTTTACCAGGGGGTCGATGCAGATATCTTGTTTTGGTCAGTCAAAGTTGATAAGTGACCGACGTCGGATAAAATCAGTTTGACCGAGAGAAGAAGACACTGGACGCGAAGGTACACTGTGTACGTGCGCTTTTTATCCGGTGAATATTTGTATATTTACGACGTCTAACATACAGAAACGTTTAGACAGTGTTTACAGAAGGATGCTGAAGGGATGTACCGAAACAGTTCACAGCTGAATGTCATGAGGTTGCTGTTGGGCGGGTCTTCAGTGAGGAGGATTACATTTGTTGCCCAAATATTCTTGGTTCTGTTCTGTTGCTAGGAGACCTTTGACAGTTGAGGTTTTAAAGTGATTGGGGAAGCCAAAGCTCCGCATAATCTGCATTTAGTGACAGTTCTTCTTTGGATCCGTAACGCAGTTAACTTGTCAAAATAATATTAATAGAAAATATAGACAATCATTCACCTACATGTTATTATTATTCTAATTATTTTAAATAATATATCCTAACGTTACACGTTTATTTTAACGCGACGGTACCTTAAACTGTCATTCACTCACCTTTAGTTTGATGGATTAAGGGTGGACTCTGGTTAAGTAGGTCAGTGACAGGCTAGAATGATGAACGGGACCATTTGAGTGACAGACCAATGCTATTAAGAAAATATAGGTACTACTGTATCATCATTAGTTTAATTCATCTTTTTTCCCACTCTTTTCTCCTCCATTCACCGTGGACTACAATCTGCTGACTGAAGGTCATTTTGTAATCAGATCAATATGTGCTGGGATGGTTCGGGCACAATGTGCCATTAGGCTCCAATAAATCCTGCATCAGGTCTCCTAGGCTACTCAGTCTTGATACCTTTTGACCATCACATGAGGCTCTATGAAAGGAGATGCACAGACTGATTTTGGATAAGAATGAACGTTGCCTGTAGCTGTTTTGTATCCAAACACATTGTGCATCTATAGGGTGAGTAGTCTTTTTAATATTTCTTCTATTTTGTTTTCTTTGGATGAATATTAGCCTACTGTATGATGAATCTCTTGAATAACATAATATTCTATATTTTTATTTCTTATTTATATTTTAAAATTGTATTCTCCTATTTTTCATACATTAATGCATGTAATTAGATCCATTAAATGATTAGTTCACCAAAAAAAAAAAATAATAATAATAAATTCTGTGAATTATGCACCCTTATGTCATTCCAAACCTGTAAGACTTTCATTCATCTTGGGGAACTCAAATGAAGATATTTTTGATGAAATCTGATTGATTTCTGTCCCTCCATTGACAGCTACGCAACTACTACTTTGATTCTTCAAAAAGTTCATAAAGAGATTGTAAAACTATTCCATATGAATTGGCTTTATGCACAGCTGCACTACTTCCTGAACTTCAGTCAGCTCCTTTGTTTACTGTCTGCCATTATTGGACAAACTGATTAATCCAGGTGTGTCTGATTATTGTTTTTTTTGACTACTGAGGATTACTGAGGACACACCTGGATTAATCAGTTTGTCCAATAATGGCAGACAGGAAACAAAGCAGCTGGCTGAAGTTTAGGAAGTAGTGCAGCTGTGGATAAAGCCAATTGAGCGGTTTAGTCCAAATTTTCTGAAGAGACACGGTCGCTTTAGCCTATATGAGAAAATTTGGACTAAAGAAAATTTGGACTAAACCGCTCGATTCATTATCATATGAATTAGTTTTACAATCTCTTTATGAACTTTTTGAAGCGTCAAAGTGGGAGCTAGCTGCATAGATGGTCAATGGAGTAATAGAAATCTCTCAGATTTCATTAAAATAATATTCATTTGTGTTCTGAAAATGAAATGAATGAAAGCCTATGGTAATGGAAAGACATAAAGGTGAGTGAATGATGACAGAATTTTCATTTTTGGGTGAAGTATCCCTTAAAGAACGTTTTTGCCATTGTACCGTTTTTTTCATGGCAGTTAGGCACATATTACCCCACATATTAAAATTATACTGTAATTTTATTCATACTGATGTTTCCATTTTGGATTTGTTTGCAATTGTCATTACTCCCAATTCTTATTATCTTATCTTTATTGTAAGATAGCAATACAAATAAGTTTGATGATCAGTTTTATTATTTATTTTATTCTATATATTTAAAAAATTAAATCTGCATAAAACTAGTGCAACAATTGCTACCATAATGTATAAATGCAATTTATATAATGTATAATGAATTTATTGTAGTACAGTAGCCTGTCTGGGGAGGAAATGTGCATAATTGTCATGAAATGAATGTCAGACTTCACTTTCAGCTCATAGCATGTAGCATATAGCTTATGGGGCAATTGGGACACTTGTGGTTTGATGGTTAGAGAGTCAGACTTGTAAACAGAACGTTGTGGGTTCAATTGTCAATACATCAGGAAATGACTGAGGTGCCCTTGAGCAAGACACTTAAAGGGATAGTTCACTTTGAAATTAATTTTTTGGTATGTTTTAGCTTAAATGTACGTACACATTGATGGCCTAAGACACGAATCGAACAGTTTGTGTGAGAAAATGGACAGTATTTATATAGTTTTTACCTCTTGTTACCACAGCCACAAAGTGCCCGTGCCCTCAGATCACTTAGACGTGGCTGTGGTTACAAGAGGAAAAAGGATATAAATACTGTTTGTTTTCTCACACAAACCGCTCGTTTCGTGTCTTAGGCCATCAATGTGTGCTTACATTTACGAGTCATTAAATCATGTTTAATTTGGACTTCTCTGTGCATGCTCTTTGAGGTGGTGACCATTGACCTTCATTATATGACTGACAAACAAGAACGGTTTGACCTAAAAATACCAAAATTGAAACTACTGCGGAAACAAAGACACCTACATCTTGGATGCCCTTGAGGTAAGCTAAAACATACCAAAAATTAATTTTAACGTGAACTATCCCTTTAACCCGCAATGTCTCCCCGGGCACCTCAGTGAAGGGCTGCCCACTGCTCTGTCCACGGTTTGCTGTGTGTGTGTGTTGATTACTCACTGCTCTTAATGTGTGTCCACTTACTTGGATGGGTTGAATACAGAGGACAAATTCCGAGGATGGGTTGGCATACTTGGCCTTCATACAGAAATGTTTCTTAAGGGTTATTTCACTCTGTTTTGTAAAGGTGAATTATTTCAATTTTTAAAAGCTCTTCATCTCAGAAGTTCCATCGAGATGCTCATGTATTCAGGCTATATAATAGGCTTCTCAGATATGCAGTGTCCTTATTCACTCTCAGTTTTTTCTGTTTCTGCTATCTCTCACTGTAGAGTGCTGCACATGCTCAGTCAGGCCTGTCTGGTGTTTTGTTGTATCAACAGGAAGCACTCCTTCCACCTTCTCCTCTCTCCTCCAGGAGCATGCCCTCTGAGCCTCCTCCCAGGTACATTTTGCACACAGTTTACCTTAAGAGATGACCGTATCCTCATGTCTTTGGTGAGTTTTATTTAAAGAGCTCTGGAGAATATCTGAGGTCATCCGAAGCTTTCTTATATATGTATGATGTCACTGACATTATGGGAGGATTTTGGGGTTTTGGTGACTATTTTGTCCAATTCTGGCTGTTTGTATAAGATTCAGATCATAAGAAAAATATCAACCAGTATTCAAATCTGTTCATCACATGATGACTTCATCAAAAAACAAAAAACAAAAAAACACTGACTGAGCACTGTCACCCACATAAAGACCACCAGGTAATGCATCACACTAGAATAATGCAACTAACATAAATGAAAGGATTTAAAATGTAGCATTTAGCATGCCAATGTGAATAATTAATAAAAAAGTATGAAATAAATATCAAAAAATGTGATGGTTCATGCTGGAACTTTTGGTAATATCCATATTCATATAAATTCAAAATAAGTTCATACTTTTTACTCATTGCAAATGTAATTTTGTTGTAAAATTGTATTTTGCCTTGTTAAAAATGTTGTAAATATAAAAATTAAAATTTTGTTTACAATAAAACTATTATTAAAATAAAGTATAATATAATACATGAAATCTATTGTATTCAAATATTTGAATGAATGAATGAAATTAATTATTTAAATAAATGTATTTTTAATAAATTAACAATAACAAATACGTTCAATTAATTAATATCAAATCTTTAATAAATACATTTATCTTTAAACCTTGACAGTATAATTACATGTGGTGTTTTCTTAATCATATTTTTTAATGTGGAAAGGTAGCTTAAAGTTAATCAACTAACAGTTTTTTTACTATACCATTTCTGCAGTCTTTTTATGTTAAATAACATTTTTTTTAAATGTTTTTTTTTTGTTAATGTTAAATAACGTGTCCAGAAAGAGAATTAGAGCTAAATCTGAAAGCTTTGTGCTGAAAAGATCTATTAAGGGCAATGGAGACATCTCACATTCTGAATAGGCATATTGATAGATCTAGTGAACAGCAGGAAAAAAGACATACAAGCACATACACGCAGCTTCATTGTTTCTGGGCACAGGCTTCCATGATGAGTTGTTCACAAACTCCAAGCATGGGCTTGTCTTGCAGTGTTTCTCTTGTGTCTCAGCTCTCAGGACATGCTGACAGGACAGAGGCTGTGTCAATCCAAATCCCACCAGGACTCTGTCCTCTCTGCCCTTAATCAGCAGCGCAAGGACGGACTGCTCTGCGATGTCACCCTGGTCGCCGGGGAACAGAAGTTCCATGCCCACAAGGCGGTCCTGGCGGCCTGCAGTGATTACTTCCGGGTGAGATTGGACACTGTGCAGGTTCCATCTCGCTAACCCCAGAAACATGATCAGTGAGAGTGTGTTTTCCACACAAGCTTATGCTGGCATCTATTAAAGGAACAGTTCTCCCTAAAATCTTGTCATTCCATATCAATACAAGCACATTTCCACCACATAGGAACGAAATCATGCTTTGGTAAATCATAATTATGACATAAAAAGTCATAATCCTCAGATAAATCGTCAAAATGATGGTCGTCAAAACATAATTATGACAAAATGTTGACCTTATCTTATAATCATGACTTTTACTGCTACATTTTATTTTATAACAATGCTTTACCAAAGCATAATTTTGTTTTTCTTTTGTGGTGGAACAGAGCTTCCATCCATACATATTCATTTTTTCTTGGAACTGGAGATGTTAGGTACAAAGTTCATGCTGCTCTTCTCCATAAAATAAAAGTAAATGGGGATGAGTGCTGCCAAGCTCTAAAAATAATACATTCAAATGTGGTGTATCAAAATAATTTATAGCAGGTTTGAAATCAGTGTGAAATGAAAGGAGCTGTACAGCAACGTTGTCTTCCCTTATATGGAAAAAGAGCAGCATAAACACACTATTGAACATCTCCTTGACCTTTTGTGTTCCGCAGAAGTCATACGTGTTTGGAACAATGTGAGAGTGAGTAAACGACAACAGGATTTTCCTTTTAGCTGCACAATCCTGATGCAAATATGTACAGTTCACACGGGAGACGAGAGCAACAGACGGGAAATGAAAAGTCAGCAGCGGCCTGGAAACCGTATCAGTGAGATTTGCTTTTGGTTTGTTCAGAAGATTACAAAGAAGAAATACATCCAGCCCTGCAACAGAGGGAAAGATTATGGGCACAGTCCAAAGAACAGAATTAAATAGGGCAGGTATATTTATCTCTATCTGTCTCCTGGGAAGCTCTCCACTTCTGTTGGGCTGGAATGATAAGATATAATCCCTTGTTTTTTATTTTAGCCCTTGGTTTCTGATGATGACACTTTCTGCTGTTGTTAAGGCGAGTCATAGCTGATGTAGAACATGGACTGATCCAAAGCTTAAGTCAATCAAGCTGTTGGCTCTGTTTGACAGCTACCCTTTGACATAGTATGCCTGCAAGGTTTTTATTATTCCTGATATCTATTAGGTGGAACGCTTGAAAATGTTTAAATAGACAGGCGTGTACACATGTGGATGAGGATGTGTTTTATGCTCTATCGTGAATACCAAAAAGAGTTGTGTTTTGGAAATGAATCCCAATTGCCAGTAGTTAACTGACATATTAATGGTCCTACCTTGTTTGTGAATTAATTATACCTCCAATTTTAGGGCTTATTAGAGAATGGCGTAGTATTCATCATCTGAAATACAATAAGTGGGTGAAAATACCTTAGATGGATAGAGGGAAGAAGATATGTCACATGTCATACATGAATACAGTATCATAGAAAGGTGGGCTATTTTGACTTTTAGCAACGATCATACAGCCATCCAGAACATCTAGAAAGAGAATTTCAGGAAAACCTCTCAGAACCCATAGCAACACTCTAGAAAATGTAAAAGTCACAACAGTTTACCCAGTGTCACCTGTCTTGTTCTATTTTTAGGCCGGATGTCCCTGAGAAATTAAAGGATATTGCACCCTTTCGAGCTTTAACACCTCAGTGGCACTAATGAATGAATGTGAAAGGTGTAAACTGCGCCTGTGGCACTGACATTAAAGGGTTAGTTCACCCAAAAATAACCTCATGTTGTTGCAACCCCGTAAGACTTTTGTTCATCTTCGGAACACAAATTAAGATATTTTTGATTAAATCTTAGAGCTATCTCACTCCTCCATAGGCTTCTATGTAATTTATACTTGCCGCCCAGAAAGTTAGTAAAGACAATATTTAAAATAGTGACTACAGTGGCTCAACCTTAAGTTTATCAAGCGACAAGAATACTTTTTGTTCAACTATTTTGTTCAACTTTATTCAACTATTAATTTTCTTCTGTGTGGGCCTCTGAGTGAGTTCACGTAGTGTATCAGCGCAGCGCTTAAGGGTTGTTTGTCAGAAAGTTCGTACTGCAAATGTCTCTGAGTAAACACAAATCATATTTACGTATATACTCTAAATATAAATGCGTAGCATTAATGTGCATCTTTATACGAGTAATAACATCAGCAACAATCATGAGTAATGATACTCACACAAGCTTGCTTCATGATTAGACCGACTGATTAAAACTGTTAATATATCTTTTTATTTATTAAAAAAATCTACAGTGCATGAAAGCTCATAAAAGTAATTTGTTCGATAATCAGACTACACTGCATTGTATGCTTTTTGTTAATTAAAAAGAGCTGAATTTTATGTCATTTGTTTGGGAATTAGACTACACTAGCTGTGTTGTAACTGTATTGTTTTTGTCTGCTGTCCATGAAAGCAACTCAATAGTTAGACGTTTCCTGGCTTTAATTTTGTGGTACACAGTCTTTTTATTCAATTACATTGCACTCGCTTGTCACAGCTCATGTGAAATATGATTTTATTTTGCATGGTTGCTGAAGATTCAACAGCTGCTGCTTAGATTCACGATGCAGCAATGGCAGTAACACTGACGTGAGGCATTTTCATATGGTTCAAAAAGCGTGCATTGTAAACTAATTAGCTCACAAAGCTGCTGTCCGGCCAGCCTGCATTGCTTTTCCAAGGTCAGAAGTCATCCACCCAGACATGTGACACAGGACTGGTCATGCTTATTACCCACAATCCTCTTCCAAAAAACCCCCTAAGTCTTGCTTATGGGCAGTGGTGTCCCAGTAAGGAGCTCTCTGAGTAGCTGTCAACAAACCAACCATCAGCTCTAATGAGTCCTTTAAAAGATCTGAATGTGAGCTGAGGTCAGTCATTACAAACGTACTGCTCTTTAAATAGAAAACAGAAAAACACAGTATACTTTACCAGGCACTATAAATGTGATATACTACTGGGGGAACAGTTTCTTAGGGTGAGGTGACAACGATAAAAGATGATAAACACTTTGCATCTATTTTCAGCACACGGCTTTAGATGGAGCTCGATGTCTTCGATTCTTTCTATTGACACTAATTTCAATCCAGAACCAGACTTAATCTGTGCCTGAGAGTCATTACTCTGATTTTGGGAGGCATGTATATAAATATATATAAAGATATATCCATATATAGATAGATAGATAGATTACAGTTTTTTTATTTCATGCTGGAAGTTCATCATTAGGAGGAGTAAGGTTTGATCAGTGGAGTTGGTGTAATGATGATCCAATGTCCTTTGACTTCCTCTTCAGCATGGGCTTTGATCAATGACCATCCTACACTCGCTCTGTGACAGCAATCAATACTTTTGATTAGTGTACTCCTGCCAGAGAACACAGCGGGACAGCACTGGCCTCTTGGTCTCTTTATTCTGCGTGTGTGTGTGTGTGAGAAAATACAGTATGCACTGATTGATGGCCATGGACTCACTTTCATTCTCAGTGTGAAACTCTTTAGACTTGAATGAACAGTTTTTTGACATTTTGCTTTAACAGCTATTTACAGGATGCTATATTACTGTAGTTCTGTGGTGCATCCTGCTTATGAGTTTGTGTCTGTGTATCTTCAGGCCATGTTCAGTCTGTGTATGGTGGAGAGTGAGGCAGATGAGGTAACTCTCCAGGGTGTGACTAGCGTCGGACTGAAGCACGCACTGGACTTCGCCTACACAGGCCAGGTAAATTCAGCATAGCCCACACAGTAGCATATGCCCCAGAACATGCAAAATAAACTAAATTTGCAGTGCCTCAAGCAAAGACAGGTCTCTGGATTCTGGAAAGACCCCATTATGAATCATATGTAGCAGATAAGTGAAATACTTGTGAATAATTTATTCTGGAGCTTCACAAATGGGCTTTTTGAAATTCTAAATCTGGTTAAATATAATACTAGGTTATCTTTTTTTCATGTTATTGACCTTCCGCAATACAATAACTAGGTCAAATGGGTAAATCTTGAGTTTATGTTCTTATTTGCATATTCATGAAGTCACTAACACTGATGCAAATACAGATTGGAACAAGCATGTGATTTCCAATTGTGAAAATGTCACCATGTAGGCCCACTCTGGCTGTTTTAAGTAACCTGAAACATACAAAAGCAATGATTTACACCAGTTAATGCTTTTGCCATCACCTTTTTGTCATATCAGTTGTTTTGTTTGATTGGTTGTCTGTTGCTAAACAACTTTTAGATTCAAGGACTGCTAACAGAGATATTCAGAGATAGAGGTCCAATATTATATACATTAGTGTTGTAAACTTTGGGTTCAGTAAGATTTATTTTAAGGAATTGATTATTTCATTCAGCAAGGATTCATTAAATCAATCAAAAGTGACAGTAAAGACATTTATAATGTTACAAAATATTAATATTTCAAATAAATGCTGTTCTTTTGAACTTTCTATTCAACAGATAGTTCCTCAAAAATAATAAGAAGCACTTTTTTCAACATTGATAATAATAAATGCTTCTTGAGCACCAAATCATCGTAGGCTCATGAGACACTGAAGACAGAAGTAAATTCAGTTATTTTAAATTGTAATAATATTAGCTTTGCAATCTAAGCATTATACATATATAAACACCTTTAATATAGTAGCTGCTATAAACGTCTTTCATAGAGCAGGCTTATGCAATATATGTTTAGCTGACGCTTTTATCCAAAGCGACTTACAATTGCTATACATGTCAGAGGTCGTACGTCTCTAGAGCAACTAGGGGGTTAAGTGTCTTGCTCAGGGACACTTTGGTGTCTCACAGTGGATTCGAATCCGGGTCTCTCACACCAAAGGCGTGTGTCTTATCCACTGCGCCATCACCACCCCATGTTCTTGGGTCCTTGGACTATAAAAAGGTTGAAGGTCCCTGCTTTTAACATGGAATTTGGAAAAAAAGGTTGGGGTTTCTTACAATGGTCTTACTCAGGTTATTTGTTTGTAGATCATGCTAGAGCCAGGAGTGATACAAGACGTCCTGTCTGCTGGAAGCCACCTTCAGCTGCTGGAACTGCTCAGCCTCTGTTCGCACTATCTCATTCAGGTGTGTTTACTGGTTATTTCTGCCCTGAAAACTTGCACTGTTTTGATAAATCTTATTTTGTGTTTACAGCAAGTACTACATAAAAAGTTACTGTGTAATCAGTAGTCATTTTGTAAAAGTTCTACTCATTTTACGCATCTTAAATGCTCAATATTTCTGAAAAAAATCTGTCATCCTTGATTCACCCTTCATTGATTTGAGTATCTTTTTTTCACAGTTTTACATACTCTTTTCAATTTGCAATCAGATTTTAAGCTTTTTAGTAGTCTCTAGATGAACCTGTGCTATATTCCAAGTTTTCTTGAAGCCTTTGTACGAGAAACTTATTTATCATTCCCTAATAATGTTCCCCTCTTTCTGTGGAATTCCATAGATCATTTCCCCCATAATTCAGTCCAGAAAATGTGAAAAAGATCTGCTGATTCCACCTGAACCTGTTCTTTGCTCATCACTGTCTTTAAAATTAGCTTGTTGTTCATTGTAACCAGTAGATGGCAGTCAGTCTCTGTGTGAAGCGTTTTGCTTTACCCCGTGTATGTGGAGCATCCTGACTAGATTTGTCTCTGTTGTTTCTTCTTTTACTCAAGGTTTTCCAGTCTGTTTTTGGATATTTTGGACTTTCATGAGATTTAGCTCTTTTGAGCTTGCACTTTATTTTGTGTGTATTCATGGGATGGGGGTATCTGTTATTGTATGTGTTTGTGTGCTTGTATGTTTCAATATTTCATTTTAGACTGTAAGGCTCAACTAGTTTTCATGCATGAATAAAACACCCCCTCTGACCGTGAATCTGTCTGTATTTATATCTGTGCCTGTAGGAGCTGAACAGTTTTAACTACCTGGACCTGTACAGGCTGGCAGACCTCTTCCACTTGCCGGCCCTGGAGGAAGCAGTGGTGGGCTTTCTGGTGGATCACCTCTCTGAGCTGCAGAAGAACAGGCAAGAGGAAGTGCTGCTCCTACCTTATCGGCTCCTCAGGGAAGTGCTAAAAAGCGACCGGCTCACCTCCCTCAGTGAGGAGGAGATATGGCAGGTGTGTGGGCCGCAAATTCACAGACTTAAACTCTTCAAAACATCTCTGAACTGCTTAGCTAGCTTACATGCTTAAATGCAAAATATCAGCATGGGGTTTCAAATTCTGATAACTTCTAGTTCACTAATGTGAAACTCTTTGTTCATATGTTTGTCAAGCTCAAGATGCTCTTTGTGCTGTCAAAAAAGCAAAAGGACACACCACCACTTTGAAATGAATGTAATTTTTTATGCATTTAATATAATTTGGTAATGTCATTTTTTTTTTTTTTTTTAGAAAAGAACATCTCAGACTTTTTGACCCCATGACAATCTCTATAACAGGCATCATTAAGTAAATCTGAATGCTTAAGGTCATATTCACACAAACTGCGCCTGTTTAATTTACGGTGTAAGAGTGAGAAAAGAAGGTGTACGGAAAAGCGCGTGTGTGTATGTATGTACACTCGGGCGGAGGGTGTAGTCGGGGGGCTGTGGTGTGACTATTCATTTGCACCAATCAGGCGCCCCCCCCACCACCCCTCCCCCAACCAGGCTCTCTCTGATTAGGCCCACCGCGGCTCCATCAGCGCCTCAATCCCCCAGCTGTCACTCCGGCCGCCCTACTGATTGAAAACAATCAGGCCTCTGATGGCACAATTACCCTGACCCTTTAACCAGTCGCTGCTGCCATAATCAGGCCCTGATTAGGCTGCTTTGGGCCTCCTTCACTTTGCAGAGAAGGTTAATTTGGGCATCAGACGGAAGCGTGATGGGCACAGGGGCTGGTGCTGCCGTCCGCCAGTCCGAACGTGCGCCCGTCAATACTACCCTCGATATAGTTTGGCTGTCAATCATCGTCATGCAGAGTTCTCTGAGTCTCACGCTCTGGAAATCACATTTTCTTCCTCTTTGTTTTTTTTTTTTGTTCTTTTTTCTTCTCTCACACTCACTCTCTGTCTGTCTTTCTCCGTGCGGGAGTGGGTGGGGGAGTTCATTTATTTTCTGCCCCGAGGAAGTTCTCTGATCCAGTGTGACCTTCACAGTCAACAGACGCTGCCTTGCTCACACCTCACTCTCTCTCTCGCTCTGTCTCTCTCCTTCCCTCTCCCATTTTCCTCTCTCACTTATTCTCTTTCTTCTCTTCTGCTGGCTGTGAAAAGGAGGAGATTCGAAAAAAACAACAACTAAAATTCAGAGAAAGGAAGGCGTCGAAACAGAACCTCCATAGAGCATTGCATGATTAATGATGCCAAACAGGAATGGAGGGTTTTTCCTGAAATCTATGTACACTCAAAGCTTAAATGTGTAATTATGTAGGAATGCACACTTTATAGGTACCATAAAGGTTACTGCTCAATATTACAGACCGTTTCGGATTTATATTGGCTGGTAGATCGTCCATGCTCAATTGTCATGTTGCCGTGTCAAATGCTCACTTGAAGTTAATTAATGTTTAAAACATTTAAAATTGAGTAATCTATAATAATACATGAATATCCATTTTTCATAATGCACATTATAATGTTGTAAGTGGGGTTAATTTTAAGTTAATTTAGGCATCACAACATTATATGTAGCATTTAAACTTTTCTAATATTTTTTAAGATAATTTATTGCTCATCAGCCATATTACTATACTGATCTCAAGCATTTAAAAATTGTTTATATTATATCTACTGTGTTTTATTTACTCATATTTTTTTTACATAATATAGTATACAATTTTAGAAATTGACCATTTATCTTTTATCAGCAATAACATACAAATATTTATAGGCTTATACTATAAGCCTATAAATATTTGTATATAATATAGGTATTGGACATTATTTTACTAACTACTAAATCCTTAATATGTGCAAGCACCCCAAAAGTAGTTAATGGTCTCTATAAGGAACTTTGCTCTATTTGAGCATCTAACAGAGCAAAATTATCTCAACCAATGCCGTGAGTTTTGGTGGTGGATTACCTATTAGAACGACCAATGGTAGATGGGGAAAATTTTAGGGAAACCTGTCTGACAGCAATCATTATCTCTGCAATTCGGTGCTGCAAATAGCACAGCAATATCAGTGTACCTTTCTAAAATGAGTGCACTGGGAACCATTCTGTGCAAGTACAATGAAATCTAACCATTTCACAGATGAAATGCTCCCAAGAAAAAATATATTGCAAGCATTTAAATTTGCCATTTGTGTGTAGGAGACAGCTGCGGAACGTCTAGAGGTGGTGGCACATGATCTCTGGACGCTATAATAAGTTCTCTGTCTCAGGGCTGATTGTGTTAAAAGCCACTTTGTTTCCACAAGAGTGGCATCGCTTATCTCCAGCCATCTCCGCCGTACTCGCATGCCTCTGCAGCTAAACAGCCTAGATTGCTCTCAAGTTCAATTAACTCCCCTTTGTCTAACTCCCTTTGCTGTGCCGGAATGCGTGTGTGTGTATGCTTCACACGCACACCTCATGATTACGTGTGTGTGTGTGTGTGCGTGTGCGCGCGCGCGTGTTCACAGATCCCCCACCCCCCATCTCATCTGCAACTGTCTTCTCATCACTGTATAGAGACACAATATATTAAGCATTAGCATGCAATGATACAAAGCGTTGGGCCTGCGTAGTATTGTGTGGATGGTGTGAGCTGCAGCCTGTAATATGAGCAGTGTGATCTCCTGATCCCGAATCGGTGCTGAATACTGATGAGCCACTCTGCCCTGCTGTAGTTATTGGTGCGTTGGCTGGAGCATGACTGCAGATACCAGTACATGGAGGAACTGCTGCAAAACGTGCGCTACGGCCTGATGGAGGTCTCCGCCCTGCATCGTGTGGCCAGTAGCCACCCCTTTCTCAACTCCAGCAGCACCGTCGCCGCCCTGGTGGAAGAGGCATTGGACTACCATCACTCTGTATTTGCACAGCCTTTACGTCAGACGTCCCGCACCACGCCACGCTTTCAGTCACTAACATTATACATCATCGGCGGACGCAAACGGGAGGTCAGCCGGGTTCGGGAGCTGCGGTTCTTCAACCCTGCCGCGCAGGAGCACACGCGTGTTGCCGGGGGTTCTAACTGGAGTGAATTAGCACCCATGCCTGCTGGACGGAGTCACCACTGTGTGGCTGTCATGGGCAACTTCCTGTTCGTGTCTGGCGGGGAGGTGGAACACGCCACTGGAAGAACGTGCGCGGTGAGGACGGCGTGCCGGTACGATCCAAGGGTGAACCGCTGGACTGATATTGCACCAATGAAGGCGTGCAGAGAGCACTTTGTGCTGGGAGCTCTGGGACAGTATCTCTATGCCGTCGGGGGGAGGAATGAACTGAGGCAGGTTCTCCCCAGCGTAGAGCGCTACTGCCCCAAGAGGAACAAGTGGACCTACGTGCAACCCTTCGACCGTTCGCTGTCCTGTCATGCAGGATGCGTGGCTGACGGGCTGCTCTGGGTCTCAGGTAATAATACATTCAGGAATTTCCCAATGCATTTCTAGGCCCAAGACTTAAAAGCATTACTAGCATCAGTTTAACATAAAAAGATGGCTTCTTCTGCTGCAGGTGGTGTTACTAACACAGCTCAGTACCAGAATCGACTGATGGTGTATGACCCAGGACAGGTAACATTGCATTTATGTGGTTATGTGAGAATAATGGGGCTGGTTAGTGCATCTTTCTCATCTTAATTTTTTTTTTAATATTATATAATTATAGTCTAAATTATGGAAGCTTGTTTCCGCCACTGAATGAAAAATATAAAAGGTAATTGCGACTTTTTATCTCACAATTCGGACTTTTTTTCTCACAATTGTGAGTTTACTTCTCGCAATTCTGACATTATTTCTCAGAATTGTGAGATATAAAGTCAGAATTGCGTGATATAAAGTCGAAATTGCGAGATATAAAGTCAGAATTGCGTGATATAAAGTCGCAAGTGCGAGATATAAAGTCAGAATTGCGTGATATAAAGTCAGAATTGCGAGATATGAAGTCAGAATTGCGAGTTATAAAGTCAAAATTGCAAGATATAAAGTCAGAATTGCGAGATATGAAGTCAGAATTGCTAGATATAAAGTCGCAATTGCGTGTTATAAAGTCAGAAATGCATGATATAAAGTCAGAATTGTGAGATTTAAACTATTCTGAGGGGGAAAAAGTTAGTCTTTTTTTCCCTTAGAATTGGCCTAATAAGTCGCAATTGCGAGTTTATATCTCACAATTCTGAGAAAAGATGTCAGAATTTCGACATATAAACTCGCAGTTATGTGTTATAAAGTCAGAATTGCGAGATGTAAACTCGCAATTGTGAGAAAAAAAGTCACACTTCTGTCTTTTTTTCTCAGAATTGCGACTTTATATCACACAATTCTGACTTTATATCTCGCAATTCTGACTTTATATCTCGCAATTCTGACTTTATAACACACAATTCTGACTTTATAACTCGCAATTGCGACTTTATATCATGCAATTCTGAGAAATAAAGTCAGAATTGTGAGATATAAACTCGCAATCGTGAGAAAAAAAGTCAGAATTGTGAGAAAAAAAGTCAGAATTGTGAGATAAAAAGTCACAATTATTTATTATATTTTTTTATTCAGTGGCGGAAACAAGCTTCCATACTAAATTATAACATTATTAAGTAGAAATTAATACTTGTAGTCAGTACAGCAAGGATGCATAAAAATGATCAACATGATAATAAAGACGTTTAATGTTACAAAATATTAAGCAGCACAGCTGTTTTCAAAATTGATAATAATAAGACTTTTTTTCTTGAACACCCAATCAGCATATTGTAATTATTTCTAAAGGATCATGTGACACTGATTCTTTGCTATGAGAGGAATAGATTATATTTTAAAATATATTAATTATATAAAAAACAGTTATATTACATTTTAATAACATTTGACAAAATTACTGTTTTTTATGGTATGTTTGATCAAATAAATGCAAAAAACAAACAAAAAACAATACAAAACAAAAAACCCAACCCCACACAAGGGACTTGTATCCAATACAAATCCTCTCACAGACCATTGTAATTTTTTCATTTTGCATTCAAAAAGACATAAGAATAAGTATCAAAACTTCTGTGGTCAGTGAAACTGTGTGTTTTTCAAAGAGAGAGATATAAAGAAAGAAGAGAGGAGGAAAGAACAGGAGGCAGAGGCTCATTGGTATTCAAAGTGGCTTTACATTCACCTGCCAGGAACAGCAACCCCCCACCCACAATACCCTCAACAGATGGTCGCCAAACACACATGTGTATATTCGCACTTTCACTCACCACTGCTCGTGCAATCTCTGCATGAACACACACCTCTCGCAAATAAATGCAAACGCACCGGAATATGCTAAAGAAATGAATGCTAAATGTTTCTTTTGACAAAGTACGTATATATACATATACTATATAAATTAAAAATGAAATACTTTGTCAAAAAAGTGCAATGTCAAACTATACAATTAACCAGCAAAAATGATTTTACCATATATTTGTTAATCTCTTTCTGGTCAATTTTATAGTTTGAATTGACATGTTTTTAAGAACAATTGAACATGAGAATAATTCAGTTTTTATGCTGTTCTTTTTTTTGTAATGTCCTCTCCGTAATAGAATCAGTGGCTAGCGCGCAGTCCCATGTTGCAGAGGAGGGTGTACCATGTGATGGCGGCAGTCAAAAGGCAGCTATATGTGCTTGGGGGGAACGATCTAGACTACAACAATGACCGCATCCTGGTTAGACACATTGACTCTTACGACATGGACATGGACCAGTGGACACGTTGCACCTTCAGTCTCCTCACAGGTCACCACACGCACTATAATAATAGATATGATTATTCACCTATTTACCTTTTCATTTTCTTTTCTCTTTAAAACTTAGCTTATCTGTATATACTGTATTTTTTTCTGAAGCATTACTGATTCTAGTACCCTTTACAAAAAGTACTAAGCTGGTAATGTGTGCAAAAATCAACCTAGTTCAACCTAAGACGTTTTTAGAAGTGATCCAATCAAAACATTTTCACTAACCGCAAAGATTAATACTTTTCACAGTGTCCACTGCGCCTGAAAGGGTTATTAGACCATGGTAATGATTTTTTTTGGTAAACATAATCTCTACATTCTCCTCATAGGCCAAAATGAGGCAGGAGTGTCTGTCCATGATGACAGAATCTATGTAGTTGGTGGATATTCCATCTGGACAAATGAACCCCTTGCTTGCATTCAGGTGAGTTGACTTGAATGGTGCTTATGTTTGAATGACATGTTGAATAATTAATGTTGAAATCCTATCATTTGTCTATTTGGCAGGTTCTAGATGTGAGCACCAAGGGTAAAGAGGAGGTTTTTTATGGGCCAACGCTCCCATTCGCCTCGAATGGAGTGGCGACATGTTTCTTGCCTGCACCGTACTTTACCTGCCCCAACCTGCAGACCCTACAAGTGCCACATCACAGGATAGGGGCTCTCTAACATAGGATATTACCACTAACACACTGAACCAGTGGAATCATTTAAGAGCCTATTCTACTCCCACAAATTGTGATGGGTGGATGGAGTGGAGTCACCGTTGATCATACATTGATCATGTTGAGCCCGTATGAAGTGTTCTGATGGATGTGGAAACATTCAAAAAGAAGTTCAAGTGTTTTTTTATTATCAAGATTAGACCGACGTTCATGCATTTCTGAACTGGATATGCACCATGCTAATCCAGTTTAACAAGTAGAGTGTAAATCTGGCTGAATGATTTAGAGACACTTTATGGCCCAGTCCAAAATGGTACACTTGTAGACTGTAGGTTGTCCAATTTGTCATTTTAACACTCTTTTACTCAACAACCCATGCAGAATTACAACAAGGGAAAAATGCAAAGGCGGCGGGTCCAAGTGTAAGGGACCTGTTTTCATAGATTCTAGAATTCAATCCACTCTCCACTCTGACCTTAATGTTCTGGGACTCTATTGGCGCTTTTCCACTGCTGGTACGGCTCAGTACGGCTCAGTACGGTTCGGCTCACTTCGCTTTTCCACCGCGTGGTACGACTCTGCTCGACACGTCATGACTCGGTTCGCTTTAGCTCGGTTGCTTTTCCACTGCAGTTAGTACCGCTTTAAAGTGGGTGGGATTATAGACTGATCGATAACAGCGGTGGCTGTTACTGGCTATTTAAATCTAGCTGGTTTGGTTTCTCGTGTCGATGTCAATTGGTTGCAAATACAATGACGCTGGTACTGACGATTCTGTCTGACCAATCAGTGATCTGCTGTGTTTCACGTCACATTTAGTACCGGTACGGTACGCTTGGAACCTAAACAGATCAGGTACCATTTAAAGCGTGCCATACCGTACCATACCATGCAGTGGAAAAGCTCCACAAGTGAGCCGTACCGAGGCGAGCTGTACCGTACCATGGAGTGGAAAAGCGCCAAATAATATTGAAATCAGCCAAACGTCAGTTTCCATTCCATGTCATTTCTCAGCCTGTGACAAACTGTACTTTCTTTCAAAACTCAGGATGAAGAAGACCGTATTGTTTACTGAATGTGTATGACCACAGCTGATGACAAATACACACACAGCATCTTCACAATCTGCATCAGCAGTGGCATCTTGACTGTTTTCCATCCTACCACCAAAAACAGCCCATTCCATAAGAAAACATGTAAGGGCACACTTTTTTTACATAATGTATCTAATAAATTTATGCAGTTGTGCAATAATGATTAAACTAGTGATTTGTTTAACCTTTTATTCACTGGTGTAAAGGGAAATGGGTCAGTTAAGCTCAAAGGGAATTATTATATGGTTTTATAGGGTATTTTTAAGTCTGTCTAGCATCGATTTGGATTGATCTGATGCATTTTGATATGTAAAGGCAGTCTCTGTAGATTTTAAAGAGGATTTTAGGTTCTATTTCCATCCTGCAATCTCAATGAGGTCTCACAAAGATGTCTGCTTTAGGGCTCTCAAATCAAATCAACCACCCTTTGGTGTTAACTCATGACTTTTATTGTGAGATTCAAGATGTGTCCTATCAGAACCCATTTGTCTTGGTTAAACTGCCTAAAGTTGACAACACTCTTCCTTTAGTTTGGGACCATCTCTTACAAGCATCAATTGCTTTAAACCTGATTAGCTATGGGAATTTGTGAACCCGGGCAGACTAACCAGCATAAGAGAGAAAAGAATCTCAACGGGCATTGGCCTGGAGTTAGATGGCCAAGAGCTTGTGAGAAAACTGCATGGGACACGGTACACAGATCTATGCTTTGCATTGGAAAGATTAACTGGTACAGTTTAAAAGAAGCTGGATAAATATGGGGACATCATTTACGCATATGGAGGTGAGAGGTTTGGTGTGGAAAAAGGAAGGAAAAAGTACAAACTAAAAAAAAGTCTAGACGGCAGCAGAAAATTGAAGTCTTAGTTACAGAAAGGAGACAGCTGAGGAAGCAATGGAAAAAAAGCAGAACAAAGTCAGAAGGAGGGACTCAATCTCTTACAAAGGGCCATAAAAGATAAGTTGGCAACATTACGCAGAGCTGAGCGCCCACGGAAACGCTACAAAAAGAAGGAACGTGTGAGGGCTAATTTCTATAAAGACCTATTCAAATTCGTAAAAAAATGTATTCACCAGGGAGAAGAATGGCACTTTAAAAGCATCTAGGTTTGAGCTAGAGATATATTTAGAAGAAATGCATACAGATGCAAAAAGGCATGACCCTATGTCAATTCCATCAGACATCCCACCTATCAACCCACCAGAATACCAAATGGAGGTCTGTGCACCTAAGTGGAAAGAGGTAGAGCAGGCTGTGAGAAAGGCAAGGGCTTCATCATCTCCAGGGCCTAATGGAGTTCTGTACAGAGTGTACAAGAGTGCTTCAGGATTTCTGCGAATTCTGTGGAAATTGATAAAAATGGCATGGGAAAAACAGGTTGTACCTAGAGCAGGTGGAGTCTTTATACCTAAAGAAAAAGATGCTACAAGCAAGCATCAGTCAGTTTCGTCCTATTTCACTATTAAACGTTGAAGGTAAGATTTTCTTCAGCATTATTGCCCAGAGATTGTCCACCTACCTATTAAAGAATGGCTTCATTGACACTTCAGTTCAAAAAGCGGGCATTTCTAGGGTTCTCAGGATGCTTAGAACACATCAATGTTACCTGGTAATGAATTTAGTCAGCTAAAAAGGAGAGGAAGGAGCTCCATGTCACATTCCTGGATTTGGCTAATGCATATGGTTCAGCGCCACATGAGCTTCTTTGGGCAGCATTTGATTTTTTTCAGATTACCAATGTCAATAACAAACTTAGTGAAAGTCTGTTTTGGAGACTTGCAATGCATGGATTTTAAGCCCTACAAATCAAGGAGCATCTCTATAGTTAAAGGAAAGGTAGTAGATAAAACATTCTTCATTAATGGTGAGGCAATACCAACAGTTTCTGAGAAGCCAGTCAAGAGTCTTGGGAGATGGCATGATGGGGATCTAAAGGACACAGTTTGAGTGGCGTGGGAGAAGTTAGACGACAAGCAGTGGAAGGGTTGAAGAGCATAAACAGCTGTGCTCTACCAAGCAAACTAAAACTCTGGTGCTTTCAGTTTGGTCTTCTGCCGAGGTTGCTGTGGCCACTGACTGTGACATAAGGCAGGCCCAGCTCAAAGGAGGAAGCTGGTAGTCAACGAGGTGCGAAAGCAGGTGGAAAGATCAGGTGTATAAAGGCCATTTCCCAGGCAAGCAGTGAGAGTGGATAAGATGGGAGAGTGTGGATCTCAGTTTGTGATCAAAGACAACCCCAAGATATTTATACTCAATAATACTCTCTATTGGTTCACCTTTAATAGTGGTCACACTCTCTGAAGATTCCTTCCTAAAATCATTACTCGTCTCCTTTGTTTTTTAAATATTGAACTTAAGGTTTGACATGTCACACCAAGAAATAAATTTGTTTAAAACCATGACTGTCCTCGTCCCCCTGAAGGAGACTAATGCATGCAGTATCATCTGCAAATTTGATTAAATATCTCCTTGGATGAGCACTTATTGAGGTATTTGTATACAATATAAACAGTAGGGGTGAGAGCACAGCCTTGTGGGGATCCAACATTTATTAATTTGTTTCTCCGATAGTCATCCTCCCACTCTCACTCAGTGTACTCTATTCCTTAAAAAAATCCCGCAACCACTGAATCAGTCCAATGAAAGACTAATCTTTCGACCAACACATTAGGCAATATAGTATTAAAGGGGTGATGAACTGAGAAATCAAATTTTCCTTGAGCTTTTGACATCTAAGAGGTTATCATATTATAAGAATATCCTGTAAGTTTCAGAACTCAAAACGTCCTTGTTAGTCCAATAAAAGCTTTTATTGACACCAGCCCCAGCAAACGACTCGTTTTTAAAAGTGGGGAACTATGGCCCCGTTCACACTGCAAACAAAAGTGGCCCAAATCAACACCACCCCCGCAGAAGATCAACTCTTACTTCAACACGGCCGGTTTAGCCCCGCCCACCGATTCGCGCATTACACGCATAGCTAAACATAGGCCTACCTCGTGATGACAACCTGGATCGAGCTACCGAGCAATACAGATTGTGCAGTATCTGGTTGTGGAAGATAGTCGCTGCATATGCTTCCTGGATTCCAATAGGACTGCATGGATAAACTTTATTTTTAATGACGTTCCCCTCCAGCTGATGAGGGTAAAACCGTCTGTTCGCTTCATTTCACTGAGGATTGTAAACAAGACTGGATTTGCAGACCGAGATTAGGAGTAAAGAACAGTGCCGTCTGGATCTGACAGGAATTGTGCAACACACCGACTCTGGGTCGAACATGTATGGACGAATCATTCCGGTTGCCATTTTACAACATTGGACGTTTTCAAAACAGTTTTCCCCACTACACCGACCAGGTAAATTGAAAAACTCATGATAATATGCAAAACTGTTATCCACTCACCGCAGTGGGCGTTTACTTCCAAGTCTTCAGTGCGAAACGTCCATAAAATCCGTGCGTTTCTGAGCTGGTCTCAAAGCTAGGGTAGAAAATAGCTTATTAGTTATTAATTTTTTTTTTTAATGTTTTTGAATGCAAAAACCAAGCGAACGTCATAAATTCACCTCAGAAAACAATATAATAAAATTTAAAAAGCGAGTTCATGGCCCCTTTAAACGAATGAAAGATTTTCACATGATTTTTTGGATCTTCAAAATAAGTGAGTAAACTACATGCAGCAATGTTAAGATTGCATCGTCCACTCCCTTGTTCGACTGATATGCGAATTGCAATGGTTCCAATATGTTGTGTTTTTAACACCAGTACCTTTTAACAAGCCTTTCAAAGCTTTTAAACACCAAATAGGTCAGTGCAAGTGGCCGATAGTCACCAAGCTCTACTGGTTTATTGTTTTTAGGAAAAAGGTATATGATAGTTGAAGTTTTCCATATAGTTGGTATACATTGGTCTAAAGATCTTCGGAATATCAAAGTGAAAACTGTGGATAGTTGCTCAGCACAGTTTTTTAACACTCGTCCACAGATGCTCTTATGTATATTGCAGGCCCAGGGCTCTTATGTATATTGCAACTCTGAAACATTTTCTTTACATCAGCCTCTTTGATGGCAAAGTCGTTAGCTGATGCAAAGAAAGTTTTTTCATCACTATTAGTAACCTCACTATCCTCCTCAAAACATGAAAAAAACTGATTTAACCCTTTTTCTAGTTCCAGATCCCTGCTTTTGCCCTCTGTAATGGTCATTTTTGTATTATACTTTCTTTGACTTTTATGTGGTGCACTAATCATCATCCTGATAACGTACCATGCCTGTTTAGAATTATCCTGTAACATTTTAGCTTATTTGAACCTTAATTGTCTCTTTGAATGTCCCTTTTATCTAAAACATCGTTATTATAATATGCTACCTTCTTCTTCTTTAGTAGTTGTTTAAGATTCTTTGATACCCATGACTTATTATTTGGAAACACTTTATACATTTTCGTGGGTAGAACTGACTACACAGAAATTTACTTGGCGCCATGACCAAGTACTGCAATGTTTGGCTTTAGCATTGGAAGGCAAGCGTAGCATGAACAATAAGTCGCCGCCTGTTCTAGCAACAGAACAGTTGTTCAGCCTGTTCTGTCCTACAGGCAGAAGACAATATTCCTCGGCCCAGATGAGCAACCACCAAGAAAAGGTGTAAACACCAATTCTCGCCCAGGACAACTGGAAGCTGCTAGGGCCTGGAAAATGCTGGCTGATCTTGATCAACGGCTTATTTTTCCACCTGAGATTGCCACCACTAACCTACGACCAGATATTAATTTGTGGTCTGGATCAGCAGAGGAAGAAACTGCGGTATGCTCATCTGGCCACTGAAGCAGAACCTGGAGAAGAGTCCAGGTTTATTGGATTCAGTGGCCAAGAGTTGCGTCGCACAGTAAAGAACTTATCTGAAGCAGCAGAGAGCTCAGCAACTGGCTGTGGTTGAGACGGAAAGATTCTAGCTGCCTGTGTACAGTAGGAGGGATGTAAAGGTTAGTAGTAAGCTGGGCTAATTTGAGTGGGGGACAGAGGAGATTGACTCTGGAACGCCAGAGTCACTGTCGAGCCCTCTTGAGGTGTTGTGGGCTAGTCGACGAAACACTGAGGACGGAAGTTGCCCACTTGAAGACCCTAGAGGTGACCCCTACTTGGCTCAATCCAGACGGTTGT